GGACCTTTGCTTTGTTATGATGTACGTAACGTCGAATGTTGCCTTGGAGAAGAAAAAAAACATGAAAAGTGTACTATGGCTGCTTTCGAAGTCCGCGAGCGAGCGCGCGAGCCGGCCGGAGGACTACCTGTCTGGCGGTATCGACCAAGCTTCAGCTGTAAACAAGGGGCAAGCGCCGCCCCCGGTCGCTCGCTCGCGCGCTCGCGGGCCGGGCAGCGGACTATAAAAGCACCTATGAAATGAAATGATATTCAGAAAATTATTCCTGTTGACCAAGCTTCAGCTGTAAACAAGGGGCAAGCGCCGCCCCCGGTCGCTCGCTCGCGCGCTCGCGGGCTGGGCAGCGGACTATAAAAGCACCTATGAAATGAAATGATATTCAGAAAATTATTCCTGTTGTTTTGAATCAAGGTTTTCCAGGTGCTCACTTCATGGTGTTTCAGGCTGCAAAACTCAACCAATCACGTGGACTATCAGCTTCTGTAAACGTACTTTCTCCAGAAGAAGAAGCTAAGCCAGCTCACAAGAAAAGATCGAACACTCGAGGTAAATTTGACCACAGTTCTGAAGAAAAAACATCTGATATTTCGGTTTCTTCTGAATTGGGTATGAGTGCCAAGACAGCAACGAAGGGTAGAATCGCGAAGTTTCTTATTTCAGGAAGCTTCCCCCTTTCACTCATCTTTTCTTTGAGGTATAGGTTAAGGGCGTATTTTCTTGTACTTGTAACCTGATACTATAAAAGGCAGTATTCCATCGAAGCGGCTCGCTTAAGCAGGGTGTAAGCTGGTGGTTTCGGTAATGGAGAAATCAAGTTTACTAGGCTTTCCAGAAGTTTTTCTCTACTGTTTGATTCAGTTCAACGTTCCTGGTTTGGAAGAGAAAACCTCAGTTTGGAGGTTCAAAAATGTAAGAAAGCAATTAAAAATAAACAATTACAAGCAACTGGTCAGTTGGGGAATGATCACATTCTCTAACTCTACGTGATAGCCTGTCTGTGGAACGCATACCCAAACTGCTTAGTAGGTGCCATACGTGTCTGATTCATAGGTAGTCAATTTCTTGAGTTCATCCATAATCGATTCAGGCGCATTAGAGTAATGGCGAAGTGGGTTGCGGTATGTGCCATTAATTTTTTCTTACCATTGCGTAGAAAGAATCCAAGACGTCCACATTCTAAGGCGATGGAGACCTTGACTCCCTGGTGGCAGACCGTCATTTGATTTTGAGTCTCTGCTTTGACTGATTACTATACTATCAAGAAGCGGCTTTAATAAAGTGTTTTTCAGGACCGGCAGCTCGTCGTGCAAATCGACGTAGTGCTCTGCAAAAATCACAGGTAGCAGCGTCGGCTACAAGCTTGGACCAGCTGAAGAGCGACACAAGCACGCTCAGGTACGAAGCACGAAGGGCCACACTATTGCTACAGTAGAACCATTTGGTCAAAAGCTGCTGTCGTAGTTGGCGAAGTGATTCCAATAGTTCTTTGCCCTGCCAACCTTATTGGAAGTGCACTGCGCGATACTCATCTTGCACTGCTTACCGAAAATGACTCAATCTTCTTGATAAATTACTACCGAAACTGATTTCTACCATGTTCACGTATGCCCATTAAGTAGAACCGTCTGAATATTCTCAAAAATGAGCAAACACTACCGAAATTTAAGAATGGAGCTTCGATTGG